TTGATATACTAGCATGTTTTCTGACTCGTCCCCAATAAAAATGGTTGTGGTTAAGTGTTATTATTCACTGAGCTAGCGACTCATTCCCCGCTAATTTTTTTTACAGAGACAGCAGTTGACGCAGGCGAGGATTTCGTTAATTAGAGCGCACATGTTGATATTTCTCGGTGAGCCTCGCACTGTTCGCGTGGGCATAGATTTTATTTATTGTTATGGTCTTTTCATTGAACTCTTAGAGTCGCTCCATAGTCATTATTTTAGTGTCGTAAGTATTCTTTTGTTATTATAGTCTTATGTTGAGTATCGTTCTCATTTATCAAAGTTGGAGATAAATTAGTATTTCTAGTGGTTAGTTGATGGTTTAATCATGGTGGAGACTTGTATTGGTTAATTGACAAGTTGTCAATTGTTTGATATGATATTAGGATGTTTGGTTTTTTATTTGAGACAGGAAATTTTTTGGGATGGTCCAAAAACAGGGGAACTCTATTCGATTTTCTATAAAATTACCGATGAGGCTTACTTGGGAGCACTTGCTCCTAAGCGCCGATCACAATCCTAAATTGGGTCGTGACATTATGCTTATCTGATGAATGACATGTTCAAAGATCAGGGAAACATGGTAAATTAATATTTTATAAGTTTCTGAAATTTAATTTTGCATACAATACTTGCTAAGTATAGTCTATTCTGCATATAACATACATCTGAATATGTACTGTATTTTCAAGTTGCATACACCCAACAGTTCCATACAGATAAATACATGATAATCTACAGATAACATACATATGCATACAATATACATCTAAATACAACCTAGATTTTCCATATACAGTACACCATTCATCGGCATAAAACTTATAATTTCCATTTGCTATAGCCTACAGTTGCACACAATATACATTTCAATACAGTGATCAACTTTAAATATAGGTTGGATATAACATACAATTTTCAATTCAGATTGTTTACAACGACATCCAACCAAGCGATGTAGAGCTTGCTGTTATTTAGATTCCTCTGGGAGGCGTTGAGGTAGATACCAGTTCTACCAATACTCATTTAGACAAGCATGCAGATGATTCGGATGATTCAGATGACTTTAGTTCTACACCGCATCTTCAGCCTGAGAAGAAATATGATGCAAGTGTTGGACTTTCTTCATCTCCGCCCCACAAGAAGCGCAAAGAGCAGATTATAGATCACTCAAAGGCAGAGACTAAACCTAAGACTCCTGATGCTGGTATATCTGAAGTCAATCAAAATGTGTTGCATGATAAGAAGCCGACAGATTCTAAAGCAGATGAAGTATCTTCTTTGAGGAATGATCTAAATTCATTCAAAGACTACGTGAGTTTTGTCTGCCATTAGTAAACATTACAGTTTTGTCAATTAACATTCATATATTTTTCCAACACCTATCTAACTTTTTATGTTTTGATTAAGTGATGGGCGAGTTCACGTCTTTAAGAACATTGATCAATGAAAACTTTAAGAAGATTTCTGATCAGATTAAAGCAAATCAGCCCACAGTGACACGTGATAATGGTATTCAAATGTCGCATGATGTCGACGTGCAAGATAATCCCAAAGACCAACCAAAGAGTGATATAACTGTCGGCAAGAATTTGGGGGTTAACATTTTCTTAAACCTCTGTTAGTTTATGTTTATATGAACATAATAAGACTATATGTTTCTTATTTATTCATATTAATCATCTATAAGACACCATACATATTTTGAAATACAAGTAAATATATGTTAATTAAGTTATACATAAGTATTCAATATTATATAAATACATATATACACCGAGACATGTATGTAGTTGTATATATGATTAATTTCAAGATGTATTCTATTAATGTATAATGTATTTTCAAGTTGCATACAACCTACAGTTTCATACAGCTATATACAACATAATCTAAATGTAGTTGTATTTAAGGTGTACAGAATACAGTATTCATTAAAAGATTATAGTATTTATTATAATTGAAACTACAATTCACAGTAACAGAATACAGTAACTGAAACACATACATATGTATACATTAACAGGATACAAATGTTAATCCTCACATACATCTGTATACATTACCAGAATATAGTATGCATATTTTACACTTTATAAAACACTCATATACATCTGTATACATTAACAAAATGCAGATGTTAATTTTGTTTGTGATGAAGCAATGGTTGGTGAAAATAATACATCTGAGATGTTGTGTATCATACCACCTATATGTGTATTCAAAGAAGTACATGTATCACAGTTAGAGTTGTCGGACAAGTTTCTTCCAAGTCAAATTCCAGAAGCTAGAATTGTGATACATCATGCAGCAAAAAATCCAGTAGATGCAACCCCATTAGCCTCACATAGGAATCGGCATCCAAGTAGATGGTATTCTTCACCTTATGAGTTAAATTTCGACTCCGCGGGTTAGTAAATTACTTTAAAAAACAATGAATTATAAAGTTATGATCTTCTTCCCCCCTGTATCTATAATTAAATGTTTGTATTCATGACTTTACTAAACAATAGGTACCTTAGTTAAGTTGACTCCCATATTCGACAAGAAACACCCATTTGAAGATGATTTGATTTTGGGACCACATCCTACATTAGTCATTTAGGAGTATGAGAAATGGGTTCGTGATGGTTATCTCACTAAACATTTCCAAAATTAAGTTTTTTAGTCTGTATGTCTATTCAATATATTTATAATTTAAATAATAGACATATTGTATTTTAAAATTTATTATAGAAGTGATTTGGAAGACCATTACAAAAAGAACAAGTCAACACTGCATATACCATTGGATTTTGGCGTTGATCAAGTCACTTCAAAAAATTGGTTTTACCTTCTCTCATTTGACGGTAAACTATGGAATGACAATGTAAGATAAACTCCTTCCACATTCAGTTTGTTAACTGTACACTGCTATCAAATACATACATGTATTATGTATGTAACATACAATTTTACTAATCTGTTTTCAGTAGTTGATAGTTTACATACAAATGCATGTGTTTAATTATGTTTTCAGCAATTGTTATTTTCTGAAGTTCATTCAATGTACCGATATGGTGTATTTAGTTTTAAATGTATCATATTGATGTCATCTTTTACTACTTAAGAAAGAAGGAAAAGTACAACCAAATACTCAACTTCACGTATACAACTGTTGATTGTATATTCAAGATAAGAATAGCTGAAATATTCGACAGGTATGCTAATATAGATAGTAATGCAAATGTAGCTAAAGAAGAGGATGTAGTATGTGAGTACATAAGGGGCTACAGATTGCTGGCTAAAGTACTGTGGTACACTGTTGGCAACGTCTTGATACCAGTCAACTTGAAGGAAAAACTACATTGGGTATTGGCAGTTGTCTCATTCAAGGATAGATGTATCAAAGTGTATGACTCCATTAGATCAGCATTGCATGTTCTTATGTTTCTTTAGAGATAGATAAGCCTCTGTATCTATCGATCAGTGGTTTTCACAGAGATAAGCAAGGCATACATTGGACTCATGACTCAACATACTCTGACAAGGCACCAACTGATCTCTTTGATGTTGTTTTCATTTCAGATCTGTCTCAACAAAATCCGGGAGCATGTATGTGTTTAATCCTTTTCCTTGTATCATTTTCCTAATAATATGAATTATTTGTAACTATTTTGATGTATTCTTTTAGGGATTGTGGGGTGCATGTCGTGGCATACGCAGAGTTTCTTAGCACTGTTGGGCAGGTTCCACACATAAAATTTGATGCCAATTTACTCCGTCAAAGATATGGTGCCCTCCTTTGGGACTATGCTATGCGGAAGATAGAGGCTGATGCCGTAAGCGAGAGCGAAGCACCTTCAAATATTCTTAGGCACATCACCGATTCTGATACGTCGGTGAAGATAATGTTAGAGTAGTCTTAGGTGAATGTAGTTTTCGATAGGAGTTTTTGTGAATATTGTTTTTCTTGGACAATGTGTTGGTAAAGATGGTGTTAGTTTAGCAAAAAAAAATTAATTTAGTGACCGTATCAACAATGTTTATATATTATCATTTCAAGCATCCAATCGATGTATTGACTGTTTTTGTGCTTCTGAACTAATCTGTCCTTCAACCTGTTGGTTTTTTGTATGTTTATATCAGTTTATATTAGTATGTATGCAATATGTTGTATTGATATGTATTCAACTTATTGTATCAGTCAGTATTCAATATGATATATTTATCATCAACTTGTATTTATATGTATTCACCAGGTTATGTTAACATATTTTCAGCAGGTGCATTTAGACCTTCATATTTATATAATATATTGCATTACTATGTATTCAGCTATATTTTGAATATGTCTTTTGTATATAACTGATTTTATTCATCTGTATTCACTTATATGCATATGTATTCAAGTCTATTTAGACCCTTGTACAATACATATTTAGACATCTATACGTGTATAACATATTGTATTAATATGTATTCAGGTGTACTTGAATACATGTATTTAACATTCATAAATCATATTCAATCTCTGATATATGATATGTATTCCAAAAAAATCATTAGTTCTGTTTATGATACAATTATACCCTATGTATATAACTGAGTGTAATCATATGTATTCAATAATTATATTCATCTATCTTCATATATAATAAAGATATAATAGTCATATTTTAATTACGTATTCAAATTTAATACACCAACTAAGTATATCCAAAATATATTCGAAATGACACCAGAATCTATGACAAATCGTTTTTCATTAATACAAGTCAGAATGTGAACTAATTTCTACGTGGAGCATTTCTACAAGTACACTTATTATGTCCTTCCTGCCGACATATGCTACACGAATGTTGATTTTTCTTCTGCAACAATTCAATGAACGACTTATCACGCTTCTTCTTTGATCTTCCAGGAGGTCTTTTCCATTTGGGTGGTAATAAAACTTCATCTGCTACATGTGCTGGTATATTTCATTCTTTCCGGTCCGGCAAAAGATACACGGGCACCACATATGTCATTACAACAGACTTTGGCTTGTAATAATCAGAGCAATAATCTTCTGGCATTAGAAACTTGCTCTTCAGGACAACCCAAGTGTGTGGGCACGGTAATTCGTCAACTTGGAACCGTCCACAACTGTATTTTTTCTCTAAAAGGCATACTGTGTAATACCTTCTTTCATCGTTCACCGTATGCAAATATTCAGTCGATGGCACCACCTACATTTAAAAAAAATCATATATATATCAAAGAATAGACGTATTAAATATGATTTTAATATAGAGTATTAGAATTTTATTTAGCTTTAAGAATCATAACATATATTGTATTAAAATACAACTATATTAGATACAAACATATTTGTACATACAGAATTCAAAGACATACATCTATATACATTTGAATATATTAGAATACATACTATATGAATGCTGGTAGAATATTATAGAGTAGTCTTGACTGAATATAGGATACAACTTCCATAGCTACCTTGAAATATATACAGTTAAATATCTTGTACCATGGATACATATAGGAAAGAGATACATAAATAAAAGGCAACTTACAGTCATTCGTGTAGACATTGACTCATTCAAGGTAAGCATCTCCTTGTATTTTTTCTCAAGCGTTGTGTATATCTGTAGAGCTTCTTTTCGATTGCTGCAATTGCAACGTCCAAACATTTTCCTAACTTCTTCGAGGAGGTCGTATATTGGTAATTCCCTTGCTGACACAAGTGCGGCATTGATTGACTCAACAATATTTGACGTCATTGTCCATCCCCTGTTGATAGGTGCATATAACCTAGCCCACTTTTCGTATCTAGCTAACTCCAAGTATTCCTTCACCCTAATATATACCTTCTCCACTTTCTCTATTAGACTGTCAAACTCAGCCTGTGTGTACGCTTTTGCCATTGAGAAGTATATCTCGCTCAACTTTGAATGACTCTTTTTGAATTTCTTATATACGTTGTTCCAAAGATGCCATATACAAGCAAAATGCGGTACAGTTGGATACACTCTTGATACAGACTTGACGATACTTTCGTTCTTATCTGAAATGATGCACACGCTTTCCCTCTCACCATATGCTTCCTTGAATTGCTCAAAGAACCACGTTCAATCAACATCATTCTCTGAATCAATAACACCATATGCTAGTGGAAGTATATGACCTGTAAATAAAATTGCATACATATTATAAATATGTATTTTAATATTTAATATGCAGTAATATTATAATATATTATTATAACCAACATACTCACCTGCACCATCCAAAGTGTTGGCCGAGACAAAAGTCCCAATGTAATACGATATTAAGTGGCTTCCATCCACAACCACAATGTCATATCCATTGTATACAAGTATCCCAATAATTTATTGTATTAATCAGTCGGTTCACCCCTCAAAAAATTCATTGCCTTTTCTTTAGCCCGTCATGCCAACATGTAACTAACATCCACACCTAAATTTGTTTTCACATCATCAATTATATCCTTTGGGGTATATTTCCTCTTATGATTTGTAAGCTTGGGCCTAATCATACCACCTATAAAGCTGCTACTTGCCTGACGTTGCTCATATACCTTATCCTTCAACGGACATGTATGCTTATTATTGAACTCTCTCACTTTGAATAATTGTGATTTGTTAATGCTAGAAGCCTTAAACCTCCATTCACAATCTTCTTACATACATAATAATGCATAGCTGCAAAGAAGTTATCATTACATATATGATCAGTATAAATACTTACAAAAATACACTCATATACATTTGAATATATTATTGCATCTATATATACATATAGAGTAGTATACAATACAAATATATACAGTGTTATACATTTAAACATGTCTGAATACACCTATACTTATAAGCATACATTTAAATATAACCAATACATTTAATAAAAAATAGTTAGAGCCACTGTAATTCACAAGAATACATGTATTATTAATACATAAAAAATAAAGCAAGAACAAATATGAAGGTCAAGTAACCATTCACAATACAGCTAAATACATCTACATACAGTTTGATTTTACATTCAATTCTTCTGTACTAGCGTAATGCTCCACAATAATACATGTATTATTAATACATATATAAATAAAAACGCACAACAATATAGGTCAAGTAAAAATTCACAAATACAACTAAGTACATCTACATACGCTTTACAAATCCTACTAGAAATACAATATACAAAAAAATAATGAATACTTAAGAACACTCAAACCAGATTGTATTAGACCTATCAACCCAGAATTGAAACCTTTCTGATATAGTGTAATGCTCCATCACCTCTTTCAATGTACCTTTATCCTTATATATTTGTCCAACCATAATCTCCCTTTGATTTGTTTTTGAAATTATCAAATCCTTGTCCAGTTCGAAAACCCCAATTGGTTCGTCTGAATTGACAACATCAAGGGCAAGGGTATCATCTATATCAAAATTATACCTTTAAACTGCTTCTTCCATTTGGACAATGTCGCCTTGAATTAAACTACCTCCAGCTACAACTTCTTTGTCAATTGTTGTTATGCACAAAGAATACATCCCGATTTCTCTGTTCTCTTTTTTCAACTCTACATACACCCTAAAACCCATATCATTGTGTATTTTCATTGGCGTGCAATTTTCTTCTACTTTGTATTGAATTTTAATGGACTTTGAGCTCAAATCTATGTCCAGTTGCTTAGAAATTGACGCGACCACATTATTATACGACGCATACTCCTTTATCAGTATTCCCTCAATCGAATAATCGACGTAGTTACTTTCACTGTTCCACTTTCTAGAATGACTCAATAACACTGTTAAACTTGCCATATGCAAAATCGAATTTGAACGTATTTCTCTATACAATTGTATCAATCTCAATTTTTCTTAGTTGAAAATTGATTTGTACGAATTGTAACAAAAGAACATGAAAAGAAAGAGGGAGAATTGAAAATCCACAGATTGCTCTGTTTTTGGATACTTTCGGATGAAAAATATTTAATGAAGGGAGAAATACATATTATGGGTGATATAATTGCGTTACTTGAGTTATATTAGGAGACTATTTGCTAAATTGATTTTCTTTCCGTTTTAAATCAGTTGAAAGGTCCCTTTTTTAAGGAATATACGTTATTGTATTCAATGATATAACTCTGGAATACAGTTGAATACAACATCTTATTAACTGGACTTCCATGATTCACGCCTCTTTTTTCTAATGTATTCAAGATTACAGTACTCTAAATACATCAAATACATCTCAAAACATCTAAAAATGTATCTACAGGCTGTAATATAGCAAATGATATCTATAAATAGCTAATTACCATTAAAAGATAGTGTTTTATGAAAATTTTCCAAAATATTTTACATTCTAAGCATAAGCGCTGGTCCACCCAAAACTCTAGGTAACCAGTAGCGATTTTCCTTTTATTCTTCACCAGCTAAAAACAAAACAAAAGATAGTAAAAAATAAGTAAATAAATAAACAAGCAAAATTACAAAATGCTCACAAGTCAATTTTTTGTTGATTGCACGAAAAAATAATAATTTTACAAAGATTATGATGATAACTTAAAGCCCAACTCCATGACATGAATTGTTCAATTTTGACTCAACAACATATCCCACGACAACAATACAGTATAATCCCACTTAGTGGGGTCTGGAGAGGGTAGTGTGTACGCAGACCTACCCTGAGGTAGAGATGTTGTTTCCAAATAGACCCCCGACATCCTCCCCTCCAAGAACTTCCCACCTTGCTCTTGGGAAGACTAGAACTCAGACCAACCAAGAGGTTGTGAGTTCTAGTCTTCCCAAGAGCAACCCCTCTTGTCCCACGAGTTTGTTATTTGGATTATATTAATTCGAGCTTAAAAGTGTGAATACCATAAAAAATTGTGATTCCTTTCATGTAGCGCTTTAATTTTTTTCGCTCTTTTTTCTGATATAGGATTTGTCGATGGCATCATATATATTCTTTCTTGTAAAATTTGTTAATCTAGAAGTTTGTCAGTCCTTAATTATTATCTCAACAAATATATGTAGTATCAATATTATTGATCATATTTTTATCATATACAATGTTTTATTTCATTATTCACTTATGAAGGTTTTATTTAATATAGTTAGTTATATTGATGGTATATAGCAGTTTAATTTAATATTTCTGGTGGAAACATAAGGATGCCAAATTGCCAAGTGGTAATCAAAGTAATAATTAAGGAAATAAATATTTTTTCTTGAAAAGTAGCAGGCATCAAAGTGTTATCAGGACACTTAAATTTTTATATGCTTTTTAATTATATTTTTAATTCCTTCCACTTGCACCCATGTTGGAATTTGTAAAAGCTTTAAGTCATGTTCAATTACCCAAAAAATTATAAGGACTAATAATAAAATATACTCACCCCGTCCCATTTTAATTATCGCTTTAGCTCAAAAACTTTATTCCAAAATAATTAACACTTTAGGAATTTAAGACTAAATTTGTTAATTATTTTAAAATTTGTATTTATTTTCAACTATACCTTAATATTAAGCAAATACTAAATTTTTTAATACTACTCAATTTTTAAAAAGTATTTAATAGGGTTAACTCATTAAACTATACCTTGTATTTTTTTTTTAATTTATAAAAATGAACGTAAAAAGAGCTAAAACAATAGTTAAAATATGACGAAAAGAGTAGTCCATAAAAAGGAGGAAGAAAATTTAGATTTAGCTTAACATAATCTTAATCCACTCATCACCATATACATAATATTTTTTTAGTCATTTTCAAAGAATAATTGTTATTATCGAAAAGCTCTTTACATAATTATACAAATTCATAAGCATTTATTTTTCCCCTAGTACTTGCTTTATTGTTGGTCAATTTCAGTGGTCCCACACAGGGCCAATTTTCTTCTTTATAATAAATAGAGAGCATCAATTATCAACCTTATGAATTTAGTTTTCTATATTAAATTAATATCAAATATTGTGAAATTAATTAGTATTATCTTAGTTTAATATTTCTAAGTAATCATGATGACCACATATTGTGCCTTTTGCTTTAATTTGAAAATGATATGATTTCTACTAACTAATTCGGCGATTTAATTTATTCAATTCCATTAAAGGGTTTTTAGCATAAACCCCTTTTATGGAATTGCCTTAGCTTTAACTAACAAATATATATATTTACATTCGATATTTATATTAAATTAAATAATTTAATGTTAATATTTAAAAATAAACGTAAGAAAATATATCATTTAACATATGAAATTTTAACTTGATGAATACGACCTTTAAAATTCTCATCATTAAATTTATTGTACTTTTAAAATTATGAGTTCAGATCTAATATTTATTAAACTTTTATGAATTTTCAAATAAAATTATATACTCTATATCAAAAATATTGAATTCGCATGAACCCGGTGTCAAAACATTGTGTTCGCCCTTGATTATGGTTATGTGATAAATTTGTGTATGAAAATATATTTATCTTGCTTTCATTGGTTTGATATAAAAGGCTGAGTCAATTAAATCTACTCCTTGCTATGAGATAAGAGACAACTCTATAAATGTCTAGAGTCAAGTGATGTATGATCAAAAAACTTCTTTGAGAGAAAACTGTTGAACTCGGTTTTTCTACTCAGCACTGTCGAATTACTAAGGTCGACTTTCGTCCTTGCTCAACTGGTGAATTTTGCAGTCAAATTCCTTTCTGCCTTTTGACTCAAGGGCCAATCTCCGTCCGGCTCGAGGAATTACAATTTCATTTGATTACTTAGATAAAAAAATATAAGTTTACCTGAAATCCTCATGTCTTATAATTTTATCTCTTCTATAATATTTAATAACTTACTCAATTTAAAAAGTTAAAGGAAAAATAAAAAATGAAATAAAAAATAAATCTCTAACCAAAAAAGGGAGAAAGTAAAAGTAAAGAAAATGGTTTACAGGCAGTCACTTTTTTCTAACAATAAAAGATAAAGCTATAAATATGGCAATGCTATTAATGTGCACTTTGAAAATAGTACACTAATGATGTAAGAAGTAAAAGGAGGAATATAATTACCAGAATTGGAATATAAAATATATTTACAAGAGAAAAATAATAAAATAAAAGATAAATTACATTTTTGCATTTTTTTGAAATTTTAGAAAATAATAAATAAACATGCGTTATTATTAAAAGTTTCTCAATTTTTTTACGAAATTAAAGTTTTTTTAAAAGGTTATTCTATTCAGTAATAACACTCATAAATGTTCAAAAGAGTTAAAATAGTTCAAACATCTATTTTTTGCACAAATATTTTCAAAAAGTTTGTTTGAATTAAAATTTCCAAAAATTGTGGCTTATTAGAATCTTTCTTCTTTTACTTTTTCTTCTTTCACTATTCACAAGTCAAATCCCACCCTATAAGAACTTTAAATAAAGCAAAAAATAAAAAAAAATGTTTTCTCTTATTTTGGTTCTCCTTTTTTTATATTCATATTTCGTACATTTTGTCTCTATTTGCTTATCAAGAAAACATTAAATAATAAGCAACCATTGAAGGGATTAATATAAAAATGTAGGGATATATATTTTATTTATTTTCCCCCCTCTTTCTCTTTCTTTTCTTTTCAATTTTTAAAAAAATAAAAAAAGGAGAGAGAGTGATGGTTGTCTTCATGCATTGGCAACCTAATTTCACTTTTTCCAACAACAACTTCTTACTTTTTTAAAATTCAAATTAATATTTTGTCAGTAATAATCAGTATAATTTAATTTATTATATTGGGTTATTTATCATTTATTACTTAGTTATCATTCAGTAAATATTAATTAAATAAAGTTATTTGTAATTAATTTTAAACTAATGTGATGACATAATTTTTTTTATACTATTACTTCATAAATTTAAAATTTTCTATTTTCAAAATTTTCTTTTCACCGGACTTCAAACCATTTTCTTAACCACAATACATAATTTTCCATCTTTCCATTATTTATTAATTAACCTAATATTTAATAATTTCTTTTTCTGTCATTATTATTATTTCCCTTCAATTACGATTCAGACAATCTGAGGAAAGTTAGGAAAAACCCAAATTACCTTTTTTCTTTTCTTTTTAACTCCACAAAGACAAAACTCCATTTTTCACATTTTCTCATCATTTCTTTAAGTTAAAAATTCAATATTTTTCCTTTAATCCCCACTCTTTATTTCTTGAAAATAGCTAAAAATCCTTTAAAAAATTCTGATTTTTCCCATTAGCTTCAGCTATTTGCCAGTTAATCCTTCTGTATTTTCTGTTCAGCTGGTAAGATTATCAAAAGTACCTAAAGCTTCATTCTTTTTTATTTTATTTTTTCATTTGGGTTCTGTGGTTTTTAGTCTGTTTTACCCCACCCCCTCAAAATTTTCTGGTAAGAAAACTTTGTTGTTTTTTTGGTTTTTATTTTTTATTTTTTTGAAGGTTTCTGGAGTGATTTTGGTGTCTTAACTATAGGAAAATGATGGGTTTTTGAGTACATAGTGAAAATAATTTTTTAAAATAATTTTTCTGATTCTTGAGTGCTTTTTGGCATTCTGCATATAGAAAAGTTATGGTTTTATGAGTAAAAGATTCAACTTTCTGTTGTTTTGTTAGTTTTCTAATATTTTTGAAGATTTTTGGAGTAATTTTTTGCGTTTTAACTACAGGAAAATGATGATATTTTTTTGTTAGTTTTCTTGATTTTCTGATTTTTAATTAGTATTTTGTTAAAAAAAGTTCTGAAGTGATCTTTATTTTGGTGTTTGGATTATAGGAAAATGGTGGGTTTTTGAGTACAAGGTGAAATAAAAAAGAAAAAAAAAATTCTTTTTGGGGTGATTTTCTTGTCGAAAATATTTGAGTTATGGAGGGAAGAGAGAATATGAGTATGAGTGGAGTAACAGTAGTGGGATCAGATGCACCTTCAGATTACCACGTGGCACCCAGAACCACCACTGAATCAGCAGCTCAAATGGTGGTTATTTCACAAACTCCGGCCACTTCCACGGCGGCCGTCGCCGTCACCGGTGGCGGAGCTGGCGGCGGAGCAATAATGGTAGTGAAGAAGAAGAGGGGTAGACCAAGAAAGTATGGACCAGATGGGGCACTGTCACCTAAGCCGATATCGTCGGCGGGGCCCGCGCCGTCGCCGCTGATTGATTTTTCTGTGGAGAAACAACGGGGGAAAATCCGGCCAGTTGGGTTGGTTAGTAAGCCTCATATGCCTAAGATGGACGTTGAAAATTCAGGTAAAGACTTGAACATTTTACTGTTTATAGCTGTGTTGCCGGACTATCCAAAAGTGTTGCCGCACCCGTGTCGGATCCTCCAAAAATGCGCTAAATTTGGAGGATCCGACACGCACCCAACAACATTTTTGTCGAGTCCAAGTATCATAGGTTTATAGTTAGTGGTGGATGTAGCCATTTGCTTGCAGATACTCTTGAAATATTTATAACAATATGCCCAGTGTAATCTCGCAAGTGGGTTGTAGGGAGAGTAGAGGGTAAGCAGACGTTACTCCTGCCTTTATAAGAAGGCAGAGAAACTATTTTCAGTAGGCTCTCGGCTCAGGAAGGATAAAGGGAAGGGGCAATAACAAGCAAACTAATCTGACAACCGAGGGGATATACAAAACTAATGCTAGGTAAAGCAATCAGAAACATTCCGGTGCACTAAGCTCTTGCTATGTGTGGGGTGCAGTGAAAGATTGGACCACATTGAGTTCCTACATTTATTTAGGTAGAGACATTTGAAGCATATTAATCAATGAGTTCAATAGAACCAACTTTTTGACACAGCATAATACGTATTTGCTAAAATTTTAACAGATATTAAATTTCGAGCTCGTAATTTTAAAAGTGTAATTCGTTCGGATGTAAGAACCTGTAGGTTGAACACGGCTCTTGTACTATATATAGTTAAATTTTTCTTAAGAAATGTACATATTTAGACTATGTTGGTATTCATTGTGACAAGAGAATATAAGTGCAGTTGTGCTGTAAATGTTCTAATTAAAATCTTGGGTTTCCCTCTGTGTTTAGTTATGTGCACAGTTCTAATTTTTTGCAACACGTGTTGATTAAATGGCCTAATTTTGATCTGTTTTACCAAAAATTAGTCTTTTGAAGTGTAATTCTGGAAGTTGTTTTCTTGATAATTGAATAAAGACGTACCCTCATGGATCTACTGCTTACAAGGAAATTGTAGGGTTAATATTAGTTCCATGATCTATTGCTTATAAAAGGAAGGAATTATGTTCTTAGAATCTTGATCTAATTGTTGAGCTAAGTTAACTTCTAATGTGTCTTAGCGACTAAAGTATTTGGAAGTTCCTTGTGTTAGGCTTCATATATATATACAACAACAACAACTACAAAAAACCCAGTGCATTCTCACACGTGGGGTTTGGGGACGATAATGCGTACGCAGACCTTACCCCTACCTTATCAAGGAAGAGAGGCGGTTTCCGATAGACCCTTGACAGGCTTTATATATATATATATATATAATTCTTTTGAATTAATGAACTTTCATGGTAAACATGCATTTCTACACACCTAGAAGTATTTCAAATCATTTGCCATATATTATCAAGTGACCTTTTTTTCCTTTTGAGGGGCGGGTTGAAGGTGGTATGGTCATAATGTTTCATGCTTTGCAGCTGAATTTTTTTCTTTAGTTCGAGTCCCCCAGCCCCGAACGTGACATATGTTTTCGGATGAATATTGGTCTGTAAAGATTCATGTGAAAATATTAATGTTTGAGTTTCTTTCTGTAGGTGAATGGGTCTCATGCTCTGTTGGTGCTAATTTTACACCCCATATTATCACCGTTAATACCGGAGAGGTAAATTACTAGCCAAAGCTGGTACATTTGTGATTTTTATGGGAATTTTT